CAGTGCGAAGCCGCCCCGCAGCACCATGCAGAGGCTTAGCGCCGCGCTGCCCGCCGCCTTCCTCCTCCTCCCCCTCAGCGCCCTGCTCCTGCCGCCAGCCCCCCAGCGCCCTGCTCCTGCCGCCAGCGGCCGCCGCGGTGCCCGGCACCGAGCGGGAGCTGAACCCCAGCAGTCGGCTGGCCGCGGGGGCGGCCAGGGTGGCCCTGCACTACCTCAACTTCCAGACGGCGTCCCCCGGGGCGCTGCAGGCGCTGGGCCAGGTCCGCAAGGCCACGCTGAAGGTAGGGGCAGGACGCGGGGAAGGGATCGAGGTGGCTGCGGAGCCGGAGAAGCGGGCGGGGGGCTCCCCAGGCGGACAGGCGCGGTTTTTAAAGTGACGCCGGGAAAAGTGAAATTAACAGTAATTATTGTAATAACAGAGTGGGGCAGTGGTGCGGAGATCAGCCGCCCTGAAGTTAGTGCAGATCCGTGCTGGGCACTGGGCACCTTCCCACCTCGCTCAGGGCACCCCTGTCCCACTTCCCCTTCCTCAGCGGGTTTGGGGCACTCGGGTCCCCTCAGGGGCTGCTGCCCCTTCCTCAGCGATTTTGGGACACCCGGGTCCCCTCAGGGTACCGCTGTCCCACCACCCCTTCCTTAAGGGGCTTGGGGCATCCGGGTCCCCTCAGGGGGAAGCGAGGATGCACCTCGAAAGGTCATTAACTTATTCATGATATAAATATCCCACAAATCCAAGCATAGCACTCCATATGTTGGTTGAGGTTGCTCCAGGTGCCCCGACCTGGAATCAAAAGCAGCGCACGGATGAGGGAAAGGGTAAACTGAGGCACATGGTGAGTGCATGACAGGAGGAAAACAGTTTGATAAGGAAACATTTTCAGGAGAATCACTTCTGGAGTGACCATGTACTTTGAGTAGGGACAGAAAGGACTTTGGCTTTCTATCTCTGCAGACCAAGAGCTTCAACTAAAGGCAATGCCTTTATCTTTCAGCAAGAAAAGAATTGAGGTGACAGAAAGGGGCAGGAGTCCTAGACAGGAGCAGCTACAGGGGCAGAGCTTTCATGTCATGGACAACTTGTCAGGGATGCTCAAGGCAGTGCCTGGGGCATGCCCTGGTATCTGCACCCCGATGGGCAGGGACGCTGCCTGCAAGCACCATGCCATGCAGCCCTGCTCTTCCTTTGGCTGCAGGTTTGTTGGTTGTTTTTACAGCTTGCTCAGTTTCTGAAACCAAGAGAACAGGCAAGAACTTTTGGGGAATGTTTGTCCAAGGAAGGAAGGACTGGACTTTTCCTGGAATGAAAGCAGTGCTTTCCTGAAGAGCAGAGGAGGGTCTAAGCTATCACAGTGAATGGGATTTAAAATTAGCTCTCTCACTAGTCCTGCTCTCCAGGCTGGTGCTGGGCAGCTCCCTAAAGTGAGGGCTGGTTGTTTTGGACTCCCAGTCTGAAGTGCCAGACACAGCACTGGATTCCACTGGATCCTTCTCCTGGCTCTGGCATCTGAAAGGAGATCTTACAACATTTGTCCTTCAGCATTGGCACAGCTTGTTCAATCCAGGCCCTCTCTCCTAAAATTGAGAATAAGATGGTGTGAAGTCTTCCCTTTCAAGAAAAAAGTTCCAAAACTGCTTAGGATTTACTATTGCAGTCCTTACAATACTGAAGTTGAGACTTAATCTTTCACGTATAACACCCCCACATTGCCAATGCTTCCTAAACAATTTGAAGCCTGTTGAGTAACACACAATATTTAACAGACCAGAATCATTTCCATTTAATTTTGACAAAACACAAACCACTGCACGATTCAGAACTTGTGTATTACTTTGTGTGATGGAAGGCTGAAAGACAGCGTTAGTCATGCTGCCTGTCTGGGAATGCAAACACGATGTCCTGCTATAGATTTATCTGAGACTATAGATTTATCTATAGATTTATCTGAGTTTTAGGCAACTCTCTGTTCTCAACCAGAATCGTTTCCATTTAATTTTGACGAAACACAAACCACTGCACAACGATTCAGAACTTGTGTATTACTTCGTGTGATGGAAGGCTGAAAGACAGCGTTAGTCATGCTGCCTGTCTGGGAATGCAAACACGATGTCCTGCTATAGATTTATCTGAGACTATAGATTTATCTATAGATTTATCTGAGTTTTAGGCAACTCTCTGTTCTCATCATCACTCCCAAACACAGCAGTAAGGATGTGGATGGATGTGCCAGCGTGGCATTTCATTCTTCCTATGAAATTGCTGCAGACATCTATGACAGAAATTGATGATATTTCTCTTGAGACGTACACGTGTTCCTTGTACTGGGCACTTTACAGTGTGCATCTCTATATATGTATATATTTACATACACAAATGCCTCTTTCAAGCACAACAGCATGGGCTCTGGCATTACCATGTGCTGCTGGAAGCAGTGCACTTGTCTAGTAAGGAGACATATCAGAAGTAAGAGGTTGGTGCAGATCCTCTTTCCAACCCCAGTGTGAGTGAGTATTTGCCAAGTAGTTCAGATTGCAAAGAGCAAAAGGGATTTTTTCCCACCCACTATCAGCCACCTGCCTTTTCATATAGGAAATAATTTTTTTTAAAATGGTTCATTATGGAGAAGTGAAATGCTTCCTTATTTCCTCACAGTACTCGATGCTGTAGGATCTTGCTGTAACCACTTTCTGCAGTTTTATTTCCCCTTTTTCGTTGCACACTTTGGGAAAACAAGAGGAGAAATGAACGAGACATGGGCACTTCCTTCTTTCCTGTCCTCTGCTGTAAAAAAATGAAAAGAATTTCCTGGAAGGAATGTGCTATATTATATGAATGCAAGAGACAGAGATGTTGGGGTTTGGGGGGTTTTTTTGGTGGTTTGATTGGTTGTTTATTTGTTTTAAGGCTAGTTTCCTATTGGTCAGTGTATTACTGGATCTAGTAAAAACAAGATAAATTTATCATGAAATTTAATCATGAGCATTGTATTTAAAAACTGACATTATTAGCCGGCTAGCCAGTGAAGCTGGTAATTAGAAACAGAACTGGAGACGGTCACCAGTCTGGTAACTGTGTTAGATGTGGAGGATTTTTCAAGTTCAGGTAAAATGAGACTTCAGAGCTTTTCTCTCCTAGCAACAAATACCAGAGATTTGCCAAACACACAATTCCTACCTTGGTGCTGGTTGCAGTTTTCTTTTCGTTGCCCCTTCTCATGGATGTGGGTTTTTCCTTAACTTAAGTATCTTCTAGGAAACACCAGACTGCATCTCATGGGATTGTTGACAGCTGCACTTTAAAATACATTTTTGAGCAGAGCAGTGTTAGTGTTTGCCAGTTGAAGATCCTAGAAATCAAGAGAGAAACAGCCAAAACACACGTAGCAGTCTCCCACACCCAGCTGTCCTGGAAATCATAGCTGAGCAGTAGGTAGGTGAACCAGGAGGTGAAGTGTAAAGGTGAAGCTAGGTTATCTCTTGGCTAAACTGCAACGTTTGCTTAAATTGGGCTACAAAATACAGTTTTACTGATGGAGATTTCTCTTCACAAGCTCATCTGGTCCTAGGGAAGAAATGCTGGTGGGGAGACTCACAGAACCACGGAATGTTAGAAGTTGGAAGGGACCTCTAAAGCTCATCCAGTCCGACCCCTGCCAGAGCAGGATCACCAGAGCAGTCACACAGGAACATGTCCAGGGCTTTGGGTGTCTGCAGAGAAGGAAACTCCACAACCTCTCTGGGCAGCCTGGGCCATGCTCCATAACCCTCACCCTGACAAAGTTTTTCCTCATGTTCACATGAACCTGCTGTGCTCCAGCTTGGGACCATTGCCCCTTGTCCTGGGATTGGACATCCCAGAGCAGAGCCTGGCTCCTTCCTCCTGACACTCACCCTTTCCAAATGGATCCCCATGAATGAGGTCTCCCCTCAGTCTCCTCTGCTCCAAGCTCAAGAGCCCCAGCTCCCTCAGCCGCTCCTCATAAGGGAGATGCTCCACTCCCTCCATCATCTTTGTGGCCCTGCGCTGGACTCTTTCAAAGAGTTCCTGTCCTTCTTGAACTGAGGGCCCCAGAACTGGACACAACTGGAACACATAGAGAAGAGATGGGAACCTGCAGGAAGGGTGGGAGAGGGATCATCCCTGTCCATGCCAGGGGGGAGGCAGAGCTGTGTAAACCAATTGCGAAACCACCTCTGCTGGGACTTGGAATGAAACTGCTCTGAAATTGCTATTCTAGCCTTCCCAAATTCTGTCATGAAAGTTGCATTAATTTTGAGCCCAGAAATAAAACAATCCCGTGACCCAGATATTCAGTGGAAAAATGAATTACTCACTTGTTTTCTTCTCTTTTGGACACTTCTGTCTTTGGCTGCTTTCAGCCAGGCATCGTTGTCAAATATTCCTGAGCTCTTATTTAACTCACACGATCTGAGAATTTACATTGATGCATTTTGGGATGATAGCGGAAAATAATAATGGAGATAAATTTTTTTTCTTCAAAACTAGAAATACTTTTGGAAAAGTGAAAGTTATTTCATGCCAAATGTACCTTCTCCCTCTCCCTGGTAAGATCAAAGCAGCCCTGTGGTCTGCACACTCAGATTGAATATGTGTTTTAGCTGTGTAGAGCCACTCAAAAAGCTTTCTAGGCGAGTGGTACTGCTGCGGTGGAGTTATTGCAAGGAAAGAGAGCATTTCTTCTTCAGAAACCATCAAAGCACAGAATTATGTGTCCTTTTTAAAGTGAGTATTTACCAGGTCCTTAGCCATGAAGCTTTGCTGTAGCCTGCTATTGAGAAGAATCAGACTGAATAATGAGTTTATACAAATTATCAGTTGCTTTTGTTTTCTTCATTAGTGCAAATGCAATGAAACTGTCAAGAGGTTTTGTCAGAATCGGTGCTAGTGATGACAAGAGGAATAAGCCTACATCACTGCGCTTAAAAATACCCATACTTGATCAAATAGCAGAAACAGTAGTGGTGACTCCTCTTGGGGAGCTTTACAATAATTAGACACTTAAGACTTAACTGCAGTGATTACCATGAGGGATGAGACCCTTTTTTCAGTGCCATAATCTTTTGTTAACCTGCATTTCAGAAAGCTCACTGTTACCATTCTGCTATGCTAAGAGTGTCTGTTCACGTTGTAATCTCTGTCATCTGAGGACAAGATTTTAGCCAAAACACAAAACAGGGGCAGGAGAAGGGGAGGACGAGGAATTGGAGAAAAATTGTAAAAGTCTGAACTCATCCTCTCTGTTTCCTCCATTCCCTTCATGGTGCGATCTGGGACTAGCCCAGAAATAGGGGATTTTATAAAAGTAGAGCGAGTGAATAAACCACTTTCTCCTCTTATCTGCAGTGTACGTCTCCGTGTATGTACTAAGGGCAGGTGCTGGGCTGATGGCCTTGCCCTGGGCATGAAACTTTGCTGCCATTATGATATTAATGGCTTCCTGGAAGAAAAGATGATGGGAACACAAAGGCCTAAGTTTAAATAAATAAAATCCGCACGTTTGCTTTGGGTCCTAATCTTCACAATTATGCAAGCAGCCAGAATTCCCCTGCTGTGTACCTGGAGAGTATCGAATTTAAAAAACAAATAAGATTAACAAATCAGTGCTGTTGCTGGAATACACTCAGTTGACTTGGATGAACACTTTAACAGGCAGTTTGCATTCTCGAGTAAAATGCATTTTCCATGTGCTGCCTCCCTCGTGCTCCTGTGTAACGATCTGTCCTACACCTGGAGCAAGCAGAAGCGAGATGATGTTTATGAGACAGGAGAATTCCTCTAATCAAACCAGGTAATACATGTGCAAGGAACGAACTTTCAGCCACACAAGTCACCTGGCTTTCACCTCAGAAAGCTTGTCTAATAGATCACAAGAAGACTTTCTTGGTTTCATTTCTTTCTGGCTGATTTTATCAAAGGAAAGGCTTGGAAATGTACCGAACAGTTCAATGACACAAAATGTCGTTTTACAAGGAACTAGTTGAATAAATACAAAGTTTTCCACATTACGTGTTAGTTGGACTGCCCAAATGAAAATAAATACAGAAATTTCAAAAGTGAGCATAAAAGTTGGTAGGAAAATAAGAGGCTGACTGGTGAAGTAAAGACCAGATAACACAGAATCCCAGAACGTTAGGGATTGGAAGGGACCTCCAAAGCTCATCCAGTCCAATCCCCCTGCCGGAGCAGGAACACCCAGATGAGGTTGCACAGGAAGGCGTCCAGGCGGGTTTTGAATGTCTGCAGAGAAGGAGACTCCACAACCTCTCTGGGCAGCCTGGTCCAGTGCTCTGGTACCCTCAGTGAGAAGAAGTTTCTTCTCAAAGTTAAGTGGAAACACAAATACATCCATTCTGATGTCTTGTGCTACAAGAGGTGCTACTGGCTGCTTCCCATCAAGGAGTAATATTTTATTTTTCCTTAACAAGTGGAATCTTGGATAGTTGATTGGGCAGCAAGATGACTGGTATTTTCAAGACAGAAGAGAGCAGACAAATCAGAATCCTGCCCTGACACGCTGTGTAGTGACATTAAGTTGCTTTCCAGTCACAATAGAAAAATCCCTAGAAAGGCTGGCATCCCTAAGATTAAGTTACCCTGTGTGGTTCCTGTTCAGCTTGTGCATCAGTCAGCCAGATTTCATTCATTGGTGTATTCACGGGCACTCTGATAGCCTGTGTAAAAAATACCACCTTGGAAGCTGAGCACTTATTTGTAGTTTTACAATTTCTAAAGCTACTCAGTACCAATCTGACCTGTGAAGGACTTTGAGCTGCGTTTTTCTTTTGCAGATCTCTGTGAGGAAAGGCTTTAAAACATCCCTTAATGTAGGGGTTATTTACTGTTGGTTTTAAGACCCTTCGTGTTTGCTGCTAGCATCATCTCAGTGCATCTCACCTTGATGCCACAAGGCCATGAGGTGGCCATGGCACCCACCTTTTCCCTCCTCAGCACTCACAGCAACACCTCAGCAAGGTGCAGTTCACTGATGGCTGAACCCTTCTCTCTTCCAGAGCATCCCAGACTCCGGGCACAAGTATTACCTGCAGTTCACCACCGAAGACTACAAAAGCAGGGTGAGTTTATCATCCTCCATGTTTCCTCTGGCTGTGTGCGTTAAATGAACTTCAACATCTCCAAAACAGGGTGCACTTAAGTGCTGTGATAAATGGATTTTTCACAACAGAAAGGTGCTACCTTTTGTGCTTTTACCTGCCTGTCCCAAGTGGCTTGCTCTGAGCATCACCTGAGTAGCTCATCTAATCCGTCCTCTGCCCCCACCAGGGTCCAAGTGGCCAGGGCACCGTAGCGACCTGCTCTGGGATGGTCTGGTTTAAGTCACATCAGGCAACCAAGCACCCGAGTGAAGCTTTGCAATGGTCCCCACTGGGTATGGCCGTATGGTCCTCATTATCCAGCTGCAGCTCCTGCTGTGCCCACACACCAAAATGAGAATGAAGAGTTGACAGTTGAGTGTTCTTTTGAATTACAACCCACCCCCCATTCATTCTGTCTGAGTTGTCATTAGCAATTCTGCTGCAAGCATCTGCTTTTCCGTTACACACACATTTTATGAAATTCAGATTCTTTTCAGAATTGAATATGAAACATTAGATTATTTTTGTTTCAAGGCTGAAGTGTCATACAATGAAATTCCCTGTTATCAATTACTATTATTTCTTGAGAGAACTTTCAAACTTATTTCCAAGATGACCTAGTGCACTTCAGCTACACTTCAATTAAAAACTTCAGTTACATCACTTTAGCCTCTTGGTTTTAACCTATTTCATAGAATCCTTTAGATTGGAAAAGACCTTCAGGACCATCGAGTCCAACCATTAACCTAACTCTGCCAAGTCCACTAAACCATGTCCTGAAGTGCCACATCCACGTGCCTTTTAAACACCTCCAGGGATGGTGACTCCTCCACTGCCCTGGGCAGCCCCTTCTAGTGCTTCCTTTTGGTGAAGAAATTTTCCTTATATCCAACCTAACCCTCCCCTGGCACAACTTGAGGCCATTTCCTCTCGTCCCATCACTTTGTTACTAGAAGGAAGAGCCTGAGCCCTCCCTCGCTACCCCTCCTTTCAGGAGCTGCAGAGGGGATAAGGTCTCCCCTCACCTCCTCTTCTCCAGCTGAACCCCCCAGCTCCCTCAGCTGCTTCCCATCATTTGTGTGCTCTAAACCCCTCCCCAGCTCCATTGCCCTTCTCTGACCACGCTCCAGCCCCTCAATGTCCTTCTGGGAGTGAGGGACCCAAAACTGAACACAGGATTTGAGGTGCAGCCTCACCAGTGAAATTTACTTTTCTGGACAAAAATCATATCCATCTAAAGACTTTCTTGGCCCCTGTACAGCTTCATACAAAACATCTCGTAAAGACACTCCACATGTGTACTTCACACGTTAAAACCAAGAGGTTTTTGAAGAATGTGTGGCTGGTAAATAAAATCTTGATGAAAGATAAGAGTGTTAAATTCTACCTTTACAGGAAAATGCCGGGAGCTGCCTTGCTACAGTGTTGTATCCGAAGAAGAAGTCTGTGCCCGTTGTGAACATCAAGTGCATCCCCACCAAAGACGAGAAACAAGTCCAAGAAGAGGACAACAGACTTTACCAAAAAATTAGGCACCGAACCAAACCAATAATTGGAAGCAATATTCCAGGTATAATCCTCCAAATAATCAATTGTATTTCATTTTATCTCAAAGAGCCTGAGCACACATGCAAATGTACCCGTATTTTAAAAAGCAGACACGTATGTTTACAGCAGCGCCCTAAAACCGTGGAGCTATCAAAACAATTCCACCTTGCCAGTCATTTCTGGGGAGAAAAAAATCCAGCCTGCTGTGTTTAGCAACAAAGGTAATCAACACAACGCTGTGAAGGCGTCTGGGGTTTAAAAACAACCCTGTGCAATTTTATATTCAAGTAACTGCAAAACGTCCTCAAGTAATAACATCACCCACACACCTTCCCTGGCTGCGGGTGGAAATTCCCAGGGGATGACGAACTGAATTTTTCCATCCTGAGTGCTCTGGTCCCTCTTTTCCTCCCAGCTAAGGATTTCCATTATCACAGATTTTGGGTTTCTCACCTCTTTGTGGGGACCCTGTGGATGGTGCCTCTTGGCAATTTCAGTTCCATCAAGCTTCCACACTTTCACTGTGACTGCAGGTTTGACATCATTCTCCTCCCTGCTCAAGACTGTAACACGTCTGAGGGAAGAGTCCCTTCTCAAGAAGAGTGCTACGCCAGGCAGAAGTGCTCTGTGGTTTACCGTTTTTCTGCTGAACAGCCAGAATTAATAATTTTATATTATTTTTTCTTCCTTGCAGACAGCTATGGAAATATTGAGCCTGCCCTGGAGCCCGCCTGGGCCTTGGCTGTCGCTGGCAGCAGTTTCATAATGTGGGAAAAGTCAACAGAGAGCTTGGGTTACTCCATGGCACAAGTCAAGTCTGTGAAGCAGTGGGTAAGCACGGTGGAAATTACACATCTGAGTTATAGACACCAAGTCTGCCAAACAGCAGAGAATAAAACAGCCACCAACAGCTCACGCTCTCTAATGGGTGCGATTGGCCCCAAGTCCCAGTGGCTTCTCCACACAACCATCTCCACCTCTTTTGTCCACATTTTGGTGGAGAGATTTTACTCATTTGGACAAAATTCGGTTTTCCTTGTTTGCATGAGTGGATCTGTTGGCTTCTGCAGGTTTAATCGGGTTTGAACGTGTGGTCCTGCAGTATCAGCCCCACACTGAGGCTCTCCTCGTACTCTGCCCTCCCAGCCAAGCTCGAGGGTAGCTTCAGTCTCGTACCTCACACGTGCTCTATGGAGAACGTACCTTGCACCTGCAGCGTAACAAGCCAAGTAAATCAGAGCAGACTCTACACTTCAACAATATAACTTGTGTTCTTCTTCATTTTTTTCCCCTCTTTGCTACAATTCCAGATAAGGAAAGATGATTTTATTGAGTTTGACTACACTGTCCTACTCCACGAAATTCCAACACAGGTAAGACAGTCTGTGTGTATGATTCCTGCTTTCCTCAATGGAGGAACAGTACAAAGATCATGAGATATGTGTCTTTTAAAATTTGTTCTCCAGGAAATTGTTTCATGTCACATGCGCCTCACTTGGCTTCCTGATCACCCCCTGAAAGTGAAATACTTCTGTGCTTCAGAGGATCGGGGGCTCGAGGACGGGTCTGGAATGGAGTCTGGATCAGCTGCTGGGATGCTACATGAAAAGGGAGCAAATTTTTAAGAGTGTCAGGTTTTTGTATATGTATTAAATGAGAAAATCCTTGTGTTAATAATGGGTGTGATAATTTTTCTATACAAGTCGCACAAAGGGGAATTTGAATGCTTTCACTACTCTGTTTTGTTCCAAAATTAATTCCTCTCATTTCTTCACCTGCAAGACTAACGTTCTAGAGTTCTACCTGAAATCTTTGCTACTACGTATATATGCACAGATAAACATACACAGGTTGATTTTGTCACTACCTTACTCAGAGTAACAGAGTTTGTAAACAAAGTTAATATATTTGTATAAAAAACTTGAGAAAAGTATTAATCTGTCACTAAGAAATATGTCTACTAAATTTTTTACAATTTTTTTGGGATATGTGTTGATTTTTAACTGACATCTCCAATAAAACAAACACCATTACGCAGCGTCGAGGCTGGGTTTTCTTTCACGATGCTGCTGTTTGACCCCAACTTTCCCAAACCTTCTCCCAGTGTTTGGCCTCCCACGAGGCCCCACGGAAACCAGGCCCCAGCATCTGTGTGGCCCCAGTCCCTTCCCTGCAGTGAGAGAGGACGTGAACAGAAAGGTTCTTCTCTTGTGTTTTTGAGGGCAACTCAGAAAATATTGATCGAAGGAAACCGTGTTTTGTTGTCTGTCCACATCTGTGGTCAGCCCAGAACACTGCAAGGCTGCATCAGATGGAAATGGAGGCTGTTGTCTGTGTCTGTCTGCAGTTCTTGCTATTACCTTAACGAAAACAGAGCAGCAAAGACAGGAAGGCTCTGTGCAGACCAAGGCTCTGTGCAGACCAATTTCCACATTTGGGTTTGGCGGGGGAACGCTGCCAGAACTCCCCGTCCAACAGCTCTTACATTAATGCTGTGCCTTGTACCCGTCCTAAATACAACAAAGTCCCATCGCAAGGACACGCTTTTGTCCTTTCACACCCAATTCTCCATCTGGGTTTACACAGACCCCCTGTCCTGTCTCTCGAGTTTCCCACTTGTTCCCCCACTAGCAAGATTTCTCCCAGGTTAAAGGAACTCCGTATCAGTACGTACACCTTCCTTAGGAAAACAAGCAACGGTCTCTGCCTCCTGGGATGGTTGCGTTCTTTGTAACTCGTGGTGTATTGCACTATCATTAATCTGTAACCTGTAACAATAAGGTATTTAACATAAAATCTTTACCTGGGAGGTATTTAGGCTGGGTGATCTGTGAACCCCCCAGATACAGGCATTTTTCACAACTATCATTCTGATGTACTGTTACTGACTGAAGCTTTTTCTATCAGCACAGATTAGGCTTTACAACACATTCAAGTGAAGCAGCACTTCACGCACTCTCGGTGTTTTGTTTCATGCTGGTAAAACATTTCTCCTCATCAAAAGCCTGAAATCAGAGCTTAGAATGGCAACACTTCTTAAAGAAAGTGGTGCTGGAAGTATTTATTACAATTAAACCAGGGAAGTAGTAAGGCTTTTACACTTTGAGGCTCTACTTTGGCAATCGACTTCAGTTTGGTTTTCTTACCTTATTTTTGCCACTGCTCTCCAGGCCTAGAGCAGAGGATCAGGCACTTCCAACTTGCCAGACTGGTGTAACTTTGACTATTAATACGCAATGCAAACGTATCATCGGGTAAAAAACTGCACGATAACTTCTGGACAAGATGCAAATCTGTTGGAATTCAAAGGCAAAATTTCCAGCAGCTTCTTTAGGGGCAAGACTTCAGTCTGTGGCTCAGAATCTAAAATCATACGGTTTTTACTCAAAAATTCTTGGTTACATCAATGCAGACATTACCCAAAGCACCCTTGGTTGTGGTTCTGTCCTTCTCCCACCACCAGTAGCCTTCCCCCTCCCCACAGTTCTCCCCCATGTTTAAACTCAGACCCCGCTGTGCTCCCGTTGGCTGCACTGGGTTTGTGGAGAACCAAAACGTGTGGCAGAACCAATTAGCCAGAAATTCACATCATGAGTGGCCTCTAATAAGTGTAATATAAAAGCCATAAATATAAATAACAGAATAACCACCCCATTTCTTCCTCACATTCATGCTGCTTTCATAAGACATCTCTGAATTTTGGTAAATGCGCTGCACTTGCTTGTTTAAGAAGATCTCCAAATGCCAGAGAACCTGCAGGGCTTTTCTTGAAACGAGTTCCAGCTGAGTAATTTCACAAAACTAAAGCTCCGAATGTAAAGGAATCAAGCAGGACTTGGCCCAAAGCAACATCACACTCGTACACAACATCACGCCTGCGTTTCGTTGGCATTTCCAATCTCTGCTGCTGTTGTTTTCTCAAGATGAAAATAAATCATTTCCACTGTCTTTCTGTGAAGGCTGAGGAGAAGCTTGGCCATTGCGGTTCTGTCTGCGTCTGGTAAACATCAGGACGGGCCAGTGCCAGGAACATCGCTGGTTTTGAACCAGGACTTCATTCGCTCCTTACTGGAAGTCTGCAAAAATGCTGTTAAGCTGAGTAGGTCAGGAAGAGAGAGCACGCAAAGAAAATTCAGTGCAGATCTTCTGGCAGTAATTCAAAAAAGGTACCGATGAGAATATCTTCTCTTTCCCACCCAACTGCACCATCCTCGCTGTGACTCTCCTCTGTGAGGGAGCAAGATCTGCTCAACCGACTCCCAAGCTGAGCATCACCAGCAGCACGCCCTCTTGATGGTAAAATGCTGGGAAAAGGAATTTTTGTTTGGTTTCCTAACAAAGAGCCAAAAAAGCCAGCCCATAAAATAAATCCATGTTGTTCAGAGTTTTGGACAAAAGTTAACTTCTACCATTATTATTATCATCAACTCTTAAAAAATGTTGTGTACCATCAGTGCTAAGAGATGCAGTGATAATCAAGCTGCACTGGATGACGATTCATCCCCGTGCCTGTCCAACAGTTAAGAGTTTAGTGTCCTAAACTACCATTTTTAACTTTCAAGACCAGTGAAACAGTAACTGGGCTAATCACAAAATAATGATGTGTCAGGTAAAAAAATAAAATTATTTTAATACAAATGGATTAAGATAAATGTCAAGACAAATTATCATCAGTGTTGGAACACTTCTGTATTTTGTTAACCAGCAGCATTTACATGTGAGCAATTCCGCTGTGATCTCCTGGTGGCTGCTGAGAACCCCACAAAGGAAGGATATTACCATGAAATGACCGGTCCAAGTCCCACTGCAGCCTGCACTCATCCAGCCACCACGGCTGCTGCGACTGCTTGGGCAACCGAGCCTGCAGAGAAGACTCTGAAAACCTGTTCAATGTGCTTGAGAGGAAAAAAGTCAGTTCTTGGCTTTGCCCTTTTTTACAGGGAGCCGTCCCGTTGCTTCGAGGTATTTGTTAATTATTTCCTCTTGAGTGCTGGGCAAACACGGTCGGTATTTACAGTACTCCATTGTGTATTCACCCTTTCCCTGTAGGGTTGGAAAAAGAAGAGTCAAAAGTGAGGATGCGAAATGTGTCATCCTATTTCGCACTGGGTGAGATAATCTGTGAGAACACGTGCAATCATCACTGACAACGAAGCGCACCAACACGGCACACCAAGATGCAAAGCTGTACAAGCGGTATCTGAACGCTGTTTCTTTGCCTGTGGTTCCCACCTCATTGGTGACAATTCTGCTCAAAACCTAAACACCCTGAATCTCCTCCCTCCTCAAAGCATGAAAGAATTTCTTGGCCTGAAATGACCCAGCTAACGCTAGCTATGTTCACTAAAAAGCAGTTGAAATAACAGTAAAAACTTCAAGGTTATTTTCCTATTCTGCATTTGTTTTTATTTTGATCTCTTTTACTGCTGCATTTGCTATGCAGATGATGACACAAATGAGCACGCTTGATTTACAGAAATAAATGTGTTCGAGCAAAAAGTACCGAGAGCACCTACCTCTGTGCAAGACCTCAGCTCGGTGGCATATCCAAACATATCATTCAGTGGCACCTAAAATCCAAGCATATTATTCTTGTAAAAAGATGTTTTTCCATCAACTTGGGGTTATCATCAAATTAAACTCAATTATGATATGAAGAGTCAGTAAAATCTGGTGCTCTTTGTAAACAGCACTGACCTAATTGTCTGGTTTTTGTAAAATACCTCTAATTTCAACTAATTCACATTCACAATGTGTTTTCAAGCAGGAAACTCAAAAAAATCTCAGAGTTTGAATGCAACAGATATGGAGGGTCCCAAATCTGCATCACCCAGCAAGAAACAGCTCAAGGCTGCAGCTCCAAGCACATTTTACGAAGCAGGAGCGACGCAGCATGAGGTTTGTGGTTAGCGAGGGCCTTGCTGAGATGATTTACCCTCCCACCACCACTGATGTACACAAACCTCAGCGTAGAGAGTGAAGTAGCCCTCGGTGCCGTCCTGTCCTGTGATCACTCCGTGACGCCGATTAATTCCCGCTATCACCGCTCCTTGGAATTCGGTGGGTGCCATCACCTCCACTGCCATAATGGGCTCAAGTATACGCACGGTGGCGTTTTCCATAGCTGGAGAAAAAAAAATGAACTAAATAACCAGATATTAAAGAACAAACCTGGGGGAAAACAGCAATTGATTACGTGGAATTCATCTCCCCTGCCTTTTATTCCTGATACCACAACACCCAGAGGCACAGAGTTTGAGAAAATATTCTTTCATACCCGTGTAAGGATGAAGCTGTTGGTGTTTCTTTATTCTAGGAAAAAAAGGAATTTCCTTCATACAACTAAAAGAGTTATTGTGCCTCCCTCAAAATTTCTATAGACTCCTCCATGTATTCTGCTCTACACAACCAGCCCAGCTTTGAATGTAAGGATACACCAGGCAACACATGAACCTACAGAAAGGAGGTCGTTAAATTTAGCTCCAATGATAAAGAAGCAGGAGCACACGTTCAAACGACAGCTTTATACCTTGCTTTAGGGCTCCTTCTCCTGCTCGGATGAAGGAGATTTCGTTAGAGTCCACCATGTGATGAGCACCATCATCTAGGACGAACCGGACCCCAGATATCCTGTGCCCTGACACGGTGCCCTTTTCACACGCGTCTCGGAATCCCTGCAAGCAACATCTCAAAGTCAGCAGCTTACAGACCAAAATGAAGCTTAAAAAAAGCATTAACAACAGCCTGTAAAAGACATTAAACTTAAAAAAAACCCAAAACACCAAAAAACTTTCACAGTTTTTAACAGCAATCCCGTATCTACCCAGTGGACCTTCTGGCTTGATAAGATGATGGAAGAACACAACAGTGGGGAAAATGTTTCATTCCTAAGTGTCTGAAAACTTTGTGCCAGCATTCCTCGGCACCACAGCTGGATACTGGTATTTTTAAAAATTAGAAATCATGTAACAAGCAAAGGACAAGGAAAAGAAATGTACTCGGGGTTTTATTTCGTTAAGGGACTGCAGGATCTAAAACCAAAAGAATGCTCTGTGTGGAAAAAACGACTCTAACCACTTGACTGCACAAGATGCTTTTGAGAGTGCATGCTTTTTCCAGGATTTGGCAAAAATCTGTTAAGTGTTGCATCATGGAGTGACAAAGGAATTATTTTAGGTTGATCCACTATTGAATACAAAGATCCTGGGAGGTACTACTTAAAGCAGTACAAAATTATACAGTAACAGAGAGACAGCCAGCCCACAGCAGAGATGAAAAAGAAAGAATATTTGCTAATTCATGCAGGAAATTGAGCTTAATTACAGTTTCCTACATAACTGGCCTCAGAGAAGTACCAAAAAAAAGTCACATATTTTGGGGTTAGAGATGAGAATCGTGCGGCCACCATCAAAAGCACGAGAGAGCCATTAAAAAGCTGATTCAACAGAAGGAGACTGGCTTGACTTGTGCACTGCTAGGGAAACAGAGCGAGCACACAGCAGCAGAGAAAATAAACAGCAGCTTCTAAACTAAGTGGAAAACCTTAGGAATGTACAATATTAAGCAAAGCCACACAAAATTTGATTCTGCTGGACTGGAAAAGCCTCCTTGCCTGGGGCCAGACAGTCACAGTGAATGCAGGCAGGGAAACAACAACAATCAACATTTCTTGTATCACACACACACAACACACACTTGGTACCTTTTCAACAGCGGGCACAAATTGTTTTGGAATATTTGTGCCAACGGTTCTGTCTTCAAACTCTACTTTTGTGAAGTCCTCTGGGTCCAGGGGCTCGAGAACACCGATAACTTTGCCATACTGGCCTGCTCCGCCCGACTGCTTCTTGTGCGTGAATTCAAACCTAGGAACAAGCAAACACCCCCCAAAATACCCTGTTATTCGCTACACAAAACCATGCTCTAACCACAGTTTTCTAAGGAAAAGGTTCCCATTCTGCATTTTGCTTTACTACGTGTAACTAAAATGGGTACATGCCACAACAGCGGCTGAAGCACCACCTCAGGATATTTAATGCCCAAAAAGGGTGCACCATGGTTCTTCATCTTGCAAGAGGGAAGCTAAAAGATTGTGATGAGTTAAAACCTCTCAAAAAACAACTGCAGAAACAAGCTGTGTGCACCAAGCAACGCTAATAAAGCCCGATAACCTTAAGGCTTGTGCTTTTTTGTGTACTGAATAGCAAGATTTGGATGATCTTTATGGTCCCTTCCAACCCAAACCATTCCATGATTTTTTTGTTGTTGTTTCAGTTTCCACCCACAAAGTACTCTGCTGTTAAGCTCAGACTTTACAAGGGGATAATTAAGAGGAAAACTAGTGAATATGTGCGGTTAAATACTTTTTAAGTGTAACTGGAGGGATGTGAGGTCTTTCTGAAACACC